AATGCTCCACCACCCTGACTGTTTGCCTTTAGTATGACAATGGCTAAATGAGCAGTATCTCCCAGTTAATGGGTTCATAACTGGCTGTCATGGTAAGCAAGTAATTCCTGGTTAGAAACCACATGCAAAATGTAAGCATTAGGGCAATTGCTGCTATTAGCTATTACTGTCTAATTAGTACAATGTACAGCACTGTACCAAGTGAACTGTTGGTAAGGATCTTTGGAAAGGAAAACAGAAATACTCTATTACTTCCAAAAGTGTAACTTGAATGCAATAATTTACTGCACCACCTCACTCCAAATGTGAGACAGGCTGTATTTATTTCTTGTGCATCCAAGCTAACTACCTTGAGGCAGCAGTATAGAAATCAGTTGCCGTGACTCACTTCTTGAAAATTTATTTTGCTTCTTCTTAAAATCTTGGCCTGCTTGACCTCAGCAGCCTTCACCAGTTTGAAAACGCAAGTTATAATTCTCTGTAGGGATTCAGGCAGGTGTCTATTACAGCATGTAATCTGCCATGCAGTTTCCAATGTTCATGCTGCAGAAGGTTTAAGCCTCTCTGTGTTCCTGACTAAAAAGGTCCATGAGGTGTTAGTGTAGACCGGAAGCAGATTGAGGAAGGCTGTCTAGATATCACTGAGGAGCAGTCTGGATGGACAGGTTTCACCTGAGTGGCAGCACTCAGATTTTAACCCTTTAACAGCAGCTGCAAAAGTGCTGCTGGCTCCCCTGACATTCATACTACTGCTGGACCCCTGTTTTCAACCAAAATCTTCATTCTAGGGTCACTGTCCCATCCTTCCACCCATTCACCAGGCCAGTCCTGAAGGTGCGTGTGGTAAGACATGCTCCTGCCCAGCGGGAGCAAGGCCAGCCCCAGAGCCCCACCCCAGACAGGGATACTTGCAGAACGCCTCAGACACCACTATAAAAGTTCAAGCTGGCTGGTACAAACAGATGTCACTGTGTGCTAAAACAAACTAAATCCAGCTAATTAAGAGGAAACCCTACTGGGACCAGTCAGCCCTAGTCAGCAGCTTCTCAGGTAGCTCTGCTTTTTACAGCTGGGGCTGAGCATGATCAAACCATGTGATACAGCCACGTGCCCTCACCATGCATGCAAAATGGGTACCCCTTTGTAAAGCCAAAACTTTTTGACTATGTCACTAGTTTTGGTAATATTCTTAATTCCATAAGCAGCCTAAAACAGAATAAATAGCAACTTAATTTGCCTGCCTGCAAGGAGCTATTTAGTCTGCAATTACTGCACAGGAAAATAGTGGGTTTCTTTTAGATGGTCATGGTGTTGGGAAAGCCTCAGTTACCTCTTACATTAATTGGCACTAAATGTTTAGAAGTATTTATTAGTGTTTAATTATTTAGAAATCTCCTAATGGCTTAAATATTGTTTTGAAAAGTTATACTTATTTTCCACCTTGTCCAGCTGAAGACCTGCTGCTTGGAAGGCTTAAATGGAGAGCTATTTAAGGCTGCCTGCTGGTCAAAAATTACTTACAACTGCTAATGCTCCAGTCCTGTAATTGTGCCCAACATGGAATGGGCTTAGTTTTCACAAACTGGGGAAAGTTTTCCTTTGCTGTATTCATTTTACCAAGATAGAGGTCTTAAAGAGGATTATCACAGAGATCAAGACATTAAAATACATAACTAATCCCAAATTAATTGTTTTCGTACTGACATGTACTAAGGGATATTTGTGTAGGGTAAGACACCTTTACACTGTTTTGGTCGTGTAAGTATGACTTAACATGCAAATTACATTTAAGGTGAAGCATAGGCAGTTTAAAGCCAAGTTGCTGGTAGAAAAAAAAAACAAAAACAACAAAAAAGCCAAACTAGAATCTGACTCCAAGCCTCTGAGGCAATAATTACGTTAAATATTTCAAAATCACATCAGGGACTGTCATGTCAGTAAGCAGAGGGGAACTCACCTAAGCTCATCATTTCGCTGTGTCAGAATTCGGGACATTTATTTTATTGGCTTATATCGGCTTAGATTTTTTTTTTTGTCCTAATCTCCTCGCTAGAATACTAAACACCCTACAGATTATTTTGGTGTCATCAAATCATTCACCTCTTAAGAGAGAATTTTGTGCTGTAAAATTAAAAGAATAATTCCATTTATTGGGGAGGATATGCCTGAAGGTTTTTCTTACAATTTTCATTTTTGATGACATCCTTACCCCAAGGTTCCTGTGATAGGTTGTGCCACTGATATTACTGCTGATAAGAATTTCTGGTGCAGGGACAGCACTGTGACTCTGATCCATTTCTCACTATGCTCTGCCATTAATTGGAATAGCCTCATCTGTCCCAAAAACTTTTGTGCGCACAGAGATGTAGACTACCGTTCAGTAGCAAACTAAGGCTACTGAAGCATTCACAGCACCATTCTTTCGGGTATCTTCTTACCACCGGTTCTTATGATCTGGCTGCATTCACACTAGCTTCTGTTTTGATAGAGCCCTGTTTCCCAGCATTTTCTGATTATATTGGCACCTTAGCTTTTGCTTAAAAGGAAAAGGTGAAAGAAAAAAGGAGCTAAAGAAATCAACTCATATACAGAAAGAAACAATATATCCCACACAATCCAGGGTACTCACTGGAAGCCATAAAACATGCCTCCTCTAGCACCCAGGGACTAGCGGATCAGAACAGCTTTAGTTTTTAACATGAAGAATCACAACAGACTCAGTGATTGCTTGTGAAGCAGGAAACCAAGGCCATCCCTCAGCAGTGCTTAATGCACCTGTCTGGCTACCCAGAAACATTTATTTGCTGGGTTTCTATAACCATGACCTCCCATTGAGGTTGGTTTTACCAAAGTAATAACAGAAGTATATACATTATAAGTACACAAGCAGCTTCATGGTGACAGGTACAGAAGCGACCAGATTTTTCTAGTAAACCACAGAAAGGTATGATTTATGAAATTATGAGCATTTTCTGCAAAACTGATACTTACAGATAGTCAAAGGGTCTGGTACCTTAGAGATTTCACAATACGTATATTTTCCCTAAGGAAAAGAAAAGGCTTAACTAAGTTAGTAAATTCTGGCGTTTGTGTCTAGTGCATTAAATGGAGCTTAAATAATCAAAAAATCTGGTGTTTACTTTATTCTGCTTGACTTATTTTTTGATTTTCACTGTTTTATTCAAAAGGAAGACATAGAAATAGTAACCATGAGCTTGAAATCAAAGCTATAACAGGGGCTTATTATAGACACGTTTTGCAGAATATTTCCAGTTACAGCTGTATGCTTTGATGCTGTCAGTGTAACAAGCAGTGTGCTGCTTCCCAAATAACCCTTTTTGTCATCTTATAGTTTTTTAACTTTGAGTCCCAGTGAATCGTCAGGTTTAGCATTCAGCTGTATTAATGGGAAAGAGAGAGAGAAAGAAAATAGTATTTCACTGCCTATGTAAGAGGAAGTTGCTAGTGGGAAGGTCAAAGTGAGTGCAGAAGTCCCTTTACTTGTGTTTCATGGGAGTATGTCAAGGAGCAGAACAGCAGCCAAGGTGGAAACTCATATTTGAAGCCCATTTCTCACACTGGATAGCATTGAATTACTTCATTGCCCTGGGCCTTTGAGATGGAGAGAAGCATAACTGTAATTATAAGAAAAGGTTGATTATCATATCAGGGCTTGTTCTGTTTTCAGGCTAGGTGAGGTGAACTCTGATTAATGACAACTACACTTATTAATAACAACAGCTACACTTATGCCTCTATTGAGCACTGTTAGGTATAGGTGTGTGCAGCTTTTTCCCCAGCAGTGCTGACCATCAATCGAAAGACACATGGTTTCTTCGACAATCTGTGTGTAAGGTGGAGGGAATGATACAGAGCAGCAGTCGCTTTCTGAAACAAACATAGAATGAACAAGTAGCAAAATATCAATGTACTCTTGAAAGGCAGAATTAGAAAAATGTGATTCAGTGCAGCCTATGTGACCTGATACCTTGGCAACTGCTTCAAGATATACCCAATCTGCAGACAAAATAGCCTTTGTGAAGAAGCCCAAGAATGTAGTATGCAAGTTAATGTATCAAAAGGCCAGGAAGAGAATAATTCACTTTCACCTTGCTGCAGAGGACAAGCAGCCGTAAAAGCTGTGCACTATCGGCAAGCTTTTTTGTTGCTGTTTTTAACCCAACCTCCAGTTCAGAGCTCTAGCCACCTCGGCAGCATTCCAGCTAGAGCTGCTGACATCTCCGACCTAATCAAGTGCTGGATTATCTTGTCCTGACAAATTGGAGCTGGTGCCTCGTGAAAAGTCTTTCCTGAAGTACTTTGCTACCCTGTAATAAGATGGCAGATGTCTGAATCAAGCCCCAGAGCTGGCAGAGTGCTGTTTTCTTAATGGCTTTTGGTAGCAAGTGTAAATGTTTTAAGGCAAGCCAGTGCTAAACTGGAAGCACAGTTAAGCATGATGAATTTCACACCCAAGTGAAAGGAAACTAGAAGGTGTACTAGGTAGTGGTTCATACTGAGTACATACAGGCTGCACTGCTTACCTCAAAACACTTGCCCTGAAAATTACTTCTTCTGTGAGCAAAGCTCTTGAGGAACATATTTGTTTTAAAACATAAATTCTCTTTGGCTGCTGCATCTTTCTAAGAAGAGTTGGAGTTATTGAGCTATTAGAGACTTGCTCAGCCTTCTGTGACTCAAACACTGGTGCAAGTCATTCAGGGTAGATAAACTCTTTTCTTTCTCTAAAACATACTAAGAAAAAGTTTATGTTACAGAAGCAAAGGTACTGTGTATGTGTGTGTTTGTACATTAACAGGTAAAACAGCCAGGGTAAATATAGCTAACATAGAGGTATTCCTTGCAAATATTTGTTTTTTCTTTCTTGGTTTCAGTCCTGGAGAAAAAGCAGCAGTTCTCATGTGCCAGACAGGGAACATCTTTATATATCACAGCCACCTATACTGTGCCTCTCATAACACTGCTTTGCTCTTTTCCAGGGGAATCCCTACATGTGCAATAACGAATGTGATGCGAGTACCCAAGAACTGGCTCATCCTCCAGAACTGATGTTCGATCTCGAGGGAAGACATCCCTCCACATTTTGGCAGTCCACAACTTGGAAGGATTATCCAAAGCCTCTTCATGTGAATATTACGCTCTCCTGGAACAAAACCATTGAGCTTACAGATAACATAGTTATCACTTTTGAATCTGGCCGTCCAGACCAAATGATCCTGGAGAAATCACTTGACTATGGACGAACATGGCAGCCCTACCAATATTATGCCACAGACTGCTTAGATGCTTTCCACATGGATCCAAAATCAGTGAGGGATTTATCACAGCACACGGTCCTAGAAATCATTTGCACAGAAGAATATTCTACGGGGTACATGACAAATAGTAAAATAATCCACTTTGAAATCAAAGATAGATTTGCTTTTTTTGCTGGACCTCGGCTTCATAATATGGCTTCTCTTTATGGCCAGCTTGACACAACAAAGAAGTTAAGAGATTTCTTTACCATCACAGATCTGAGAATAAGACTGCTCAGGCCAGCAACTGGAGAAATATATGTAGATGAGCAACACCTGGCGCGCTACTTTTATGCAATTTCAGACATAAGGGTATACGGAAGGTAAGAGAATATATACTTTTAGAAACAGTCACGTGTGTTTGCTTTTAGGGGTTATTCAAAACCCTTTATTTCCCAAACACGACATTTTCTGCCAAGATATGTTCATTGGAAATATGGCTCAGTTGAAGTCTGTTACTTTTCATGGTAGAAGTTTCTCACTCAGTGACACAAACTCCTGGGTGTTCACTGGCACTGGCCTGGGATCTTGAGCCCTAGCTCTCACGAGCAGGATAGTATTAACAGTTTCTTATGTAGGCTCAGGAATTCACCCTGGCATCAGGACACTTTCTGCTTTTATATAGTTGGAGCCTGATCTGACGGTAGTTAACTGAAAAGAGAGATTCTGTTTTAGCATTCGACTTTTTCAGGCCTTTAATGTTTGATACTGCAGCTCTTCTGCAGACCCTTCCCACTAGGTCTGACTAAGAACTGCCTGTGAACAAGGCAGGCAGCAGAGATTAGAGTCCATTACTTTCACTTAAATTAGTTCTGAAATACAATGAAGCTGAAGTAAAATGAAGAATAAAATCAATAAGAAAAACAAACGAAAAACAAACAAAAAACAAACAAAACCAAACAAAAAAAAACAAAAAAACCCAAAAAACCACAACCAAAACCCACCACAAAATACAACACTGTTTTATAGAGACTGATTTGAACCTAACAAAGATGATTACTGAGCTGGGTTTGAGACAAACAGTCCCTCTAGGGCAAGCAGTGGCTGGTGTCAGGTGCTATAGTCCCAGAAATAATAACTGTGCATTGACATTCCTATTTGGAAATTTTCTTCCAAACTCAAACTAGCAACTGACTAATGACCTCAGGCAAGAGTGTGATACCCTTTATGTGTATCTTGGATGCCAATTTGTTCTAAAGATATAAATGGGACCTTCTTTATTAGCAATTCACTCACCTCTCTAATGTACTTTTTCCTTCTCCTCTGTTTCTTCTATAGAGAGTTCAAATTTTCCTTTCTAAACCCATCTCTTTTTTTTTGAGAGAGAGAGAAGCTAAGTATCAAAATGAACTTTTAAGCTAATGTATGTTGGAAGGTCAGGGCATTTTTTGCAGACAGGACTGAGGGCAAAAAAGAATAGAGACAGTGATTATATGAAACAGTGATGACTATATTTTTATTACTGCTGTAGTTAGTTTGCCATTTTCTGCTTCTTTTGTACAAGCCTTTCATGTTCATAAGCATTTCCGTATTGCAAAAACTGATACATAAAATCAAAATATAATCAAATTACTGTGGTGTAATTATTGAAAAATATTATTTTTCAATAAAGGAATAATTTTATGTAAATAAATACTTTTTATATAAAACATGTTTTTTATATAAATGAAGAATATATGCCATATACAGATTTGAATGCATGAGTGCTTTTGCAGTGGCGATATGTTTTTATATGATATCAGAAGCATTTGTTAGGACCATAGGTTTACACAGTATGTAGTTGCAATCTTCTGTGTCCACACCAAATACATAGGGATAGATACAGAGTCAGTAGTTGAACGTGTGAAACTGGAAGACGAACGGTGCTGGTTTAAGAATTCTTATTGTAACCCTCATTAGTTACATGGTAAATTATTTTCCAGAAGTCTCTTGAGAAGGCTGAGTGGATCACGGACAGCTTAAGGTACTGTTTTAAATAGTTTGGTAAGATTAGCCAAATATATATAACAATAACAACAAATATGTTCTGCTTAATGCGCATCATTTCTCCACTGTGCTCCACATAGGTTAGCTCTACAGAAGCATCATATCAAGCTCAGGCTCTAAAGATCCTCGCTCCTTAAGAAAAAGCTGCTCCCCATCCAAAAACCCATTTGGAACTTAGTTTGACTTCAATTAGACTATCAGTACTTTATCAAAACATGTGGAGGATTAAAAAAGAGTGCGTTGCATGCAAATGAGAAACAGAAACCTTTCAAGCACATCTGGGGCATGGCAATCTTGTGAAAAATTACAGAAATGAAGCGTGACTGTACGGAGGAGTTATGTGATGAGAATGCTTGTTGTCTAAATGCTGCAGTAATTGGTCACATGCTTTAAAGGAAATATCTGCTGTGTAATAGTGCCTCACTAGATTAGATTCATGTAAATTCTTATCACTCTTCTGCTAATGAGAACAGCTCTTTAGGGATTTGGTGGCCTTTCCTTCAATAGGTAGGGACCCCTCCTTGTTAAACACTTTACGAACTTGTTTGCTGTTAAGTAGCTGTGGGGTTGCAGTACACAGTCCTTGATTATTTAGTCAAACCAAATGTAACTTGCAGAAGGCACACTGTCACCCAGTTTTAAGTATTTTTAGTCTCCTCCTGGAAACCTTATAGCACCCCATTAGCACTATATTTAGAATGTTAAGCAAAAATATTTTTTTTTCTTGCTGTGGTGTTTCATATTCTGGGCTTTGAGACCTAGATATTTGTATCCAGATAGAAAGCTAGACGAGATTATTCCATTACTCCATAAAAAGGGACATTACCCAGGAGCTTGACATGTGGTAGATGGGTGATGCTAGCAGACACATAGTGAAGCTAGTCCTTTTACTGAAAAAAAATAACCTGTAGGTTAAATGTAGTAAAAAACACAAAAGCTCATAATAACATATTTCTAAAGGCAGCGTAAAATGTTGTTTCATGCTGTATTTTAAAGATTAATGACAATGAAAGACATCTGCTTTAAAGCCGCCATGTTTAATATACAGGGTGCTAGGGTGGTCAGTACTTCACAATGAATTATAGATAGGAGATTTGACCACTTAATATGGGGTTTGTTTTGTCATTGCTTTGCATTTTGGTGTGAAATAAGCCTGATGTATGTTGCATTAGAGGTGAAAACCTGTCTACTCTCAATGAATGCTTTACCTCCTCTATTACTACCTGTTTATTCATCTTCAATTTACCACTTCCATTGCGTATTTATTAAGGTGATGAGAAAAAGGAAATGTGGCTGTTAGCAATTTCAGCAACCCCATCGTGTTCACATTATTCAAGAAACCTAATAATCCACATGAACGAATTCTGACTTACTGATGGTCTGCCTCACTAAATCAGGGTGATTTTTTTTCCTAGTGAATAATGGACGATGTAGTGTGCCAGTACCTTAATTAAAGAGAGCCTCTCTTAGTCTTGATCTCATTTTAATTTACAGGGTAATACTACAATAATATCACTAATGGAAGGTACATTAAAGGGCATAAAGTAGCATTAACTGTATTAAATTATGGCACTTGTGTTAATTAACTGCTGAAGCAAGATGGTCCTAATGGCTAGAAAGGTCGACGAATGCATAAATAAAGTCTTCTGGGAAGGGAAACTAAGAAAGAGCAGACATTGTTCCCCTTGTCTCGCCTTGCTGCAGAGAATCAGAGGGTGTCCTGTGTGGTAACCTCTAGAAGGTTTCTTTCACTTCGTTGCCTGGACTGTCTGCGGGCTCTGCCTGTCTTTGATTCCACGTGAAAGACAGTCCTGGCAGTAAGCTGTGAGGTACAGCTCCCTTTTTTAGTTTTGTTTTTTTTTTTATTTTAACAGAATGTCATTAGAATGCTGATAATGATTATTTGAAGTCAAGCAAAAGGTTCCTAGCAGATTTTGGATCAGGCTGCTAAAGGTTTAACCATGTTTATTCCAATGTATTTTTGCTTTAACTGTTATATTGTCAGTGATGTGTACATTTATACACTGTAAATTAACTGTAATTTGGGATGCTAGTAAAAAAAACTAGCAGTTTTTTTAATTCCCCAGTGACAGAATGACTAGCTGGCTAAAACAAAGGAGCTTATTGTTTTGAGGTGATTAGGTTTTGATCTAAGAGCCACCAGTTTCCTTCTGACTTCAGAATATCCAGCCTCTGCACAATGTTATTAAGCCCTTTGAAATTTATTTTTATACCTTTCTTGCCTTGAAGCTTCTCTATTTAAGCCCCAGGGTTTTCTGACCCTGTCTCAGCTAAGATTGCAGTTCCAGCAGCAATAGAAATCTCTTAACTCACAATACACAAGTGGAAACTATCCTCAGTTTTAACAGTTTCTTGCTCTCACATTATCTCTTCTAAATTTAAATCCACCTCAGCATCTGAATAAATTAGTCTGAAAGAAAGCATATGTGCTTAGAGGGCTGGGGCTTTTTTGTCTTTTTAGTCAGCTTGCCCCTCCTGCCAGCTGTGACCCTGCCCCTGCTGTGGTGGATTTGGGGTAGGTGAGTGGCCTTCCTCTTAAAAAAGGCTGATGTGCTGCCCTGAGCTGGGAGCTCACACTGCAACCTTCAGCAGACAGTCACAGCGTGAAGGCTGGGGTGTCCATTTTTCATCCTCTGTCTTATTCTACAGATCCATTCTATGGATGGATTAATTAGATTAAATCTGTATGTTACTCTGGCATACACTTGACAATGCTGCAATAATATCACTCTACAATTCACCCAAAGCAAAATTTTGCCTTGGGGAAGCACTAATACATAGAAATGGTTTAGTTTTATTTATAATAGAAAATGTTTTCATTAATGTTCAGCTCCAAAACAGACCATCAATATGAAGATATGTAGGCTTTAAGCTTTTAAAGAGGCAACTGACAATCATTCTTGTTTCTAGTATTTATTTACCATACTTGAATACACTTTGTTTTACAAGAATACTTGCATAAACTGCTTGCTCTCCTTTGAGATTTCCACTAGTCACTAGGGGGAATCTAGCAGTTTCTCCAATTAAATTATGAACTCATTAGAGAACAGGAAAGGAAAAGAAACATGTATTTAAGAGCATGTCAATTTATCTTTAACTCCCAAGTGCGATTAGCTTTTTTGCTATATTTACTGTAATATGTCACTAAGGAAAATGGCCCTTTGTTTTCTGTAGAGACAAATCTAGGATCGTGAGGAACTGACATAATGAAATAGTTACTGTGTTTATTTACACATGAGCAGTCTCCAATGGTTTCCTTGCTACAGGTGTCCTGTGTGGGATTTACTCCTGCCCATGTTCACATAATACTGGCTTA